GATTTTCTTTAGGAAGATTTTCTTTAGGAAGATTTTCTTTAGGAAGATTTTCTTTAGGAAAATTTTCTTTAGGAAGATTTTCTTCTTTAGGAAGATTTTCTTCTTTAGGAAGATTTTCTTCTTTAGGAAGATTTTCTTCTTTAGGAAGATTTTCTTCTTTAGGAAGATTTTCTTTAGGAAGATTTTCTTTAGGAAGATTTTCTTTAGGAAGATTTTCTTTAGGAAGATTTTCTTTAGGAAGATTTTCTTTAGGAAGATTTTCTTCTTTAGGAAGATTTTCTTCTTTAGGAAGATTTTCTTCTTTAGGAAGATTTTCTTCTTTAGGAAGATGTTCTTCTTTAGGAGGATTTTTTTAGGAAGATGATCTTTACGAAGATGATCTTTAGGAAGATGATCTTTAGGAAGATTTTCTTCTTTAGGAAGATTTTCTTCTTTAGGAAGATTTTCTTCTTTAGGAAGATTTTCTTCTTTAGGAAGATTTTTTAGGAAGATTTTCTTTAGGAAGATTTTCTTTAGGAAGATTTTCTTTAGGAAAATTTTCTTTAGGAAGATTTTCTTCTTTAGGAAGATTTTCTTCTTTAGGAAGATTTTTTTAGGAAGATTTTCTTTAGGAAGATTTTCTTTAGGAAGATTTTCTTCTTTAGGAAGATTTTCTTCTTTAGGAAGATTTTCTTCTTTAGGAAGATTTTCTTCTTTAGGAAGATTTTCTTCTTTAGGAAGATTTTCTTTAGGAAAATTTTCTTTAGGAAGATTTTCTTTAGGAAGATTTTCTTCTTTAGGAAGATTTTCTTTAGGAAGATTTTCTTTAGGAAGATTTTCTTTAGGAAGATTTTCTTTAGGAAGATTTTCTTTAGGAAGATTTTCTTCTTTAGGAAGATTTTTTTTAGGAAGATTTTCTTTAGGAAGATTTTCTTTAGGAAGATTTTCTTTAGGAAGATTTTCTTTAGGAAGATTTTCTTTAGGAAGATTTTCTTTAGGAAGATTTTCTTTAGGAAGATTTTCTTTAGGAAGATTTTCTTTAGGAAGATTTTCTTTAGGAAGATTTTCTTTAGGAAGATTTTCTTTAGGAAGATTTTCTTTAGGAAGATTTTCTTTAGGAAGATTTTCTTTAGGAAGATTTTCTTTAGGAAGATTTTCTTTAGGAAGATTTTCTTTAGGAAGATTTTCTTTAGGAAGATTTTCTTTAGGAAGATTTTCTTTAGGAAGATTTTCTTTAGGAAGATTTTCTTTAGGAAGATTTTCTTTAGGAAGATTTTCTTTAGGAAGATTTTCTTTAGGAAGATTTTCTTTAGGAAGATTTTCTTTAGGAAGATTTTCTTTAGGAAGATTTTCTTTAGGAAGATTTTCTTTAGGAAGATTTTCTTTAGGAAGATTTTCTTTAGGAAGATTTTCTTTAGGAAGATTTTCTTTAGGAAGATTTTCTTTAGGAAGATTTTCTTCTTTAGGAAGATTTTCTTTAGGAAGATTTTCTTTAGGAAGATTTTCTTTACGAACATTTTCTTTATGAAGATTTTCTTTAGGAAAATATTCTTTAGGAAAATTCTCTTTAGGAAGATTTTCTTTAGGAAGATTTTCTTTAGGAAGATTTTCTTTAGGAAGATTTTCTTTAGGAAAATTTTCTTTAGGAAGATTTTCTTTAGGAAGATTTTCTTTAGGAAGATTTTCTTCATGAAGATTTTCTTTAAGAAGATTTTCTTCTTTAAGAAGATTTTCTTTAAGAAGATTTTCTTTAAGAAGATTTTCTTTAAGAAGATTTTCTTTAAGAAGATTTTCTAACATTTTCTAAGATTTTCTTTAAGAAGATCTTCTTTAAGAAGATTTTCTTTAAGAAGATTTTCTTTAAGAAGATTTTCTTCAAGAAGATTTTCTTTAAGAAGATTTTCTTCTTTAAGAAGATTTTCTTTAAGAAGATTTTCTTTAAGAAGATTTCTCTTTACGAAGATTTTCTTTAAGAAGATTTTCTTTAAGA